TGGCTGGATATAAGTTTAAGTTACTTCTGTTCTTTTAGGTAAATTAGTCTGTTGGTCCAGTTTTCCAAACAGAGCCAAGACCTTTAGATGTTGTCCATGTATTTTGAAGTCTCTTCCTTTCTTGTGTGTTGATATTTCCCTTGAGCACTTGCTAGTTTGAAGATGTGCATTCTGATAGTTCTGTAGACTAAGTGCCTGCACAGGTGATGCACTTTCTCTTTGTAGGGCTGGAATTGTGCTTTCTGCACTGTTGGAAGAACTATGATGTTTGTTCCTTTCCTTCAGTTATTTGTCAGGAAGAACTAAGCACAGTTTGATCTTGTGCATAATGTGTTCCATACTAGCTGTTTCAGTGTCAGATGCATTCTGCTTCAGTGTGTGTATTTGGATTTAATTTTCCAAATATTCTTCTGAAGCGTATCATTCAGATCTGCCAGCTATGCCTTCCAAACACAAACCTTCTCCAGTTTTAATGCTCAGTGATTTATTTTTAGAAATGTAACAGTTCTGATAGATATCAGAAGATATCAGAAGATACTTAAATATACTGGATTTGCCCATTTTCCTTTGAGATTTCAATGATAATAAATGTCACTATATGATGTGTTGTAGGCAACCTTAGTTTGGGTCTTGTGAAGAATGTTGTTTGACATGTGCTGATGCTGGAGGCTGAGAGATTTAGGATGAACTCAGTTACTGTTTTCCTTTGAGGAGTGCTTATCATTCTCCCCCAGACTGGCTACGGGTTTAGATTTGCCCAGGATTTTCAGTTCTGTGGGCAAATGATACTTATACAGAATGACAGCAGAGGGAGAGCATGGAAACCAGAAATTGTTCTTTACTAAAGGGCCTGTAGGAGACCAGATAATCCAAAATGGGGGATAATGGTAATGTAGGTGATGTGCAGCCCTGGCAACTGGAGCTCTGGACATTTGCAGAATATCTGCCTTAATCTACATTTCTAAAATGAGAGGCAGAAGTATCACTGCAGGATCCTTTTTTTTTTTTTTTTTTTTTTAGCAAGGAGGGGAAGTAACACAGGTTTATTTACAAGCTGTTCTAGAGGAGCAGTAAATAAGGCATTATGCCCATTTCATAGTAAGCTCAGTTCTCACACTAATCAAATAGGATTTGAAGGCATTAGTGCTGCCATTGGCAAAATCCAACTGGAGTGAGTGCCTTCAGTTTATTTACTCAGAGGTGCAAGGAACACATACATGCCCACACACACACACAAAAAGACAGTTTTAACACCCAAATTTCAGTCATTTTGCAAGTGTGGCAGACTGATACGCAGAGGAGTTCAGGAAGCAGAGGGAAAGTAGTGCATCAAGGAACTATTGGTATCAAATGCATTTGTCACACAGGTGGACCTGGCAAACTGCTACTTGTGGTTTCTGCTGTATTATTTTAACCAAACTGTAGAGACAATTGAGTATTCCAGTGGACCTTGATAAACCATTACCAGTTTGAATTTGTCCTTTGTTGACTGAAAGCCACAAAACTACTGTATAGATCTGACTGTGTATTTATTTACTGTTTCGCTTGCGGTCTTTTGATGAATTACAGCATTTTTATTGCTCGTAAGAGATGGAAAGGTGGTGAGGTGGCAGTTTACCTGTCATGTATGTATTTATTTCAGAAACATGGAGAGGTTTTTTTCTGTATGTAGGAAAAAAACATCAGTACGTAGAGTGGGCTGATTTTAATGAATTAAAATAAGTAATTTAAATGTTTTTCACGTCAACAAGCAGTAAATTTGGATATAAATAATTGAGCTTAGTCATGTTTTCAGGTGATATTTGATACTTTAGTGTGCAGATATGAGAGACTTCTTTTTTTTTGTCATGATTTATCTGATTCAGTACACTTACTCTGATCTCAGTTTTCCAGGTCTGTACATACAAAAATAATGATTTTTATTAAGGTAGTTAAAATTCGCTTAAGATTTCTTTAACCTCTGGTTTGGATAGAAATTCAGAATCGATGCTTTTAGTTAGCTCTGCCCAAGAAATTAAAAATACAAGTACATATTAAAAAGATCTAACAAGAAGACATCTTCTGAATACAGTGCCTTTTGGAAGCGAGGAAAGTATCATTCAGTGAATCAAACTGTTTCAGATACGTATGGTCATTTAGATATGCAAGGATGATAGTTACTAGTATTGTTATTTAACCAGTTTAAGGAGGAAAATAACTTTTCCATATTCACTTGAAATGACAAGCTTCTTAAAATGAACTAAGCAAACCAAAATTAAGACACAGTTTTCTCTGTAGTGGTAGAAGAGGTGATTGCTGTCAAAAGCTGCTTTTAGCACTCAAATATACCTTGTTTTCAGGCCATCTGATGACTAAAGTCCATGGCTTTTCAATGCAGTTTTCCTTCGTAGCAAACATGTGCTGGCTTGCCATGACTTAAACATTCTTTCTGATCATTTTAGTACTCTTTACTAAGCCTAGACCTTAACATCTGTTGCTCTTATTTCAAAGGTAGTACTAATTGGAGGTTATAATTGTTTTTAAATGACATTTTATGTCTTTTAATTACTCTGGTTTGATAAGAATCCTCATAAATGCAATTCCTTGGACTAACAGGGCTTATTCTGGGGCTTGAATCAGAACTCGAGGGTTTTGTAATTAGGTGTGTTAGATGAGTCCTCTACGTTTATTCTAAACAGAACTTTAGAGCAAATGACAAACTGTGCCAGAGTAGACTAACACCAGTAAGTGATTATCTGGAAACCTTTAAAGGCTATTTAGCCAGTTTTACACTGATGAGAAAATTGAGAATATCAAGCTCCCTCACAGAATTTGAGCTATCTGTGACTTTTCCTCAACTATTCAAAAGCACTTGCTTTCGAAGCTTTGAAGCTTTCTTTTACCAAGTGTACAGCTCAGCTAGGCTGGCACCCACTGTCTCTGGAAGAGGTGGCCTCCCTTGTATTTTCCCTTCTGCTGGTTTAAGCAGACTAACTGGACAAAACAAACCAAAAATCCCTGATCTTACAGAACAGCTTGATGAGAAATCAAATGATAGCTGGTGCTGGTAGAGACAGTAAAGAAAGACTGCTCTTTTGGTGACCATCAGCTGCTACAGTGCTTATCTGTGTTGTAGTAACAGCCTTCCTTACAAGCACTTATGCATGCTCTTCTTCCCTAAAGCACTAAGTGTAAACCTCATTAGTTAGTAAATCATAGTAAGTATGTTCTGTAGTGTCAGGTGTTAAATAATTGGAGAGACATGATCTGAATATTGGAGAGAAATGGATTAATTCACAATTGTTGCTGAGACGTTTGAAGGAAATAAGAACTACTTAGGTTTGCTCATTGCAGGGAGGGGAAATGAATACGGGATGACAGTCTGGTTAGAGGCAGTGTTCTCATTTATTTATTTGAAAAGCATGGGCAAAGTTCATAACAATGTATTGGTTATGATAATAATAACCAAGGTATTGCCATGTTCTCACCCCTTTAATTCCTGTGCCTTTAAAATAAAGGTGAAACAAAAACCTGGGGTGAGAGTAGTAGTTGCAGTTAATTTTAACTTGTTCAGGCTGAGACAACCCACCATTCTGTCTATCATTAATGTAAAATTACTTTTTTTTTTTTTTTTTTGGTTAGGAATTAACAGAAACCTCTATTATATATTAAAGAAGAGACTTACTCTGTGAAGACCTGTGTTGACTCTGAGCTGCAGAAGTGACAGAAATGCAGTGCTCTGGGCAGAAGGGACTACCTGCTGCAGCATGTACCTCCATCTTGTAATGGCCCAGGGTTTGAAATAAGGGCTTATCACTTAATGGCTTTCATGTGCAAAAGAAAGTACATGCACAGCGAAAACCTAATGCCTGGCACGATAAACCCAAAGATTTTTAATACATGTAAAGGGGCTGCCTTCATGATTAAAAGGGAGAGGCGTGTATCTCGATGAAAAACGTGACTGGCAAAAGCTTCGTTTGTTCACTCCTCCATCAGCAAATTGCCTGAAAGTGGATCATAAACAGTGATGCATCATTACTATTATCTCCTGGTATGACTCACTGAGCCATACATAGCAGCACTTCTTTTGAGGAGAATTCTTACTCAGAGCAAGTAGGATGCAGAAACAAATATTAAATGTCAGACTGTTGTATCATTGTTGCATTAGAATTTCTTTCATGGCAGATAAAAATGTCTAAAAATGGCTTGAGCAGCAGTACCTGTCTGTATTAAGCACGTATTGCTAGATTAAAAAATCCTTATTAGTTTTATCCTTATTTGATGCTCTTATTTACATTATGTTTAGCTCTCTTTGGGCAACAAGAATGTGTTTCTTGATTGTACTAGCAAATTCTTGGATGTTTCAATATTTGAATTGCTGGTAATGCAAGGTAGCAGGTGGCTTTTGAAGCATGCTTTGGGCTTTTTCTACTTCGTGTTTTTAAGAGCTCTCTCCCTTTCATTGCCATATCATGTCCCAAACTAATTCTCTGTGATTTCTCTCTATTCTCTTTTAGTTGTAAAGAAACTGCTTGTGACATCCAAGTATGGCTCATAACACTGATCCCTTTTAAGATTCTTCTGTTACCCTTTTAGAACGATTTGCTTTCTGAAATTTTAACAGTATCTTCCCTCCATATTTTGCATTCATTTAGAACCTTGAAATTTAAGCTGCTGTTCTTGCTAAGAAAGATTAGCCAAGGCTTTCTTCAGGTCTTTGGTGCCTGCTGCTGGACCAGTCTCTCCATCCTTATCTCCAGATGGACTCTAGCCAGTGGATCCAGAGCCCTGTTTTTCTGATGCTGTTTCCAATGTTGCTTTTGTTCCATGTTCACTGCTGTAGGAAAGTACTGCGTTGTTTGTTTATGCTGAATGTATGTTGACTCAGCTTTCATTTTAAACCAACACTTAAGATTTTTAAATATGCACTGTGAAATAAGAATCCTTTCTTGTGTTTTGTAATGTTGATGATGTGTTAACAAATGTGTTATTAAAAAAAATATTCCTGTGTTCTGTTACAGGTTTTGGGATTTGAAGTTGATACAGTGAACTCTGTTCAGTTTTCAAATCACACAGGTAAAATTTTATATGCATCTTCAGATACCATCCCACAGTGTCTCAGCTCTACTTAACATGTGGCACATCTCATCACAGGACAGTGGAAAGGAGATGAGGTTTATGTTTTCAGTCACACTTTCACGATATAGGACAGAAATGTAATTTTCATGTTTTCAAGTCTCACAGAAGTCTGGATTTGGGATTAGGCATGATATGATGTGGTAATGTCCTCTTCTGCTACTTCTTTTGTTAGGCAGTAATCTAATTAAAGTCAGACAATGAAATAACACAAATACTGACATCTGTGCAGGCATGTGTAGGCATGTTCACTCTGTGAACAAGGGAGTCTTTAGTACTGTTTTCTGTGCCTTATAGCCCCATGACACTCGTAATCATATTACCAACCTAAACATCAGAAGACTACTGAGCTAGACATAATGTTTTCTCTCTTTTTCTGCCCAACCAGATTGGCTAGCATGTATCCTAAAATACATTCTGAAGGGAGGAAGGGAATGGGGTGTTAATGCATTTGGGTGTATTTTCGCTTGGGTTCTTAGCCTGAGCATGATGCACTCACATAATACTTTCAGACCTCCTAGCACTCACAGTGCTAGAAGACTTAATTTTTAAAAAGAAAGCTGAAATTTATGTTTATTTTAGCAACACCTTTCACCCATAAAGGAGTTCCAAGGGACTTTACGCTTTACACAGATCTACTATCCTGGTTTTGGCAGGCTGGTTGTGGGGAGATCTACTCTAGATAAAGGAATTCTAGGGGTGTCTAAAAGAAATAATCCAGGAATAAACTCTGACCATAGCGTCTTGGAAAAGAGCAAAAATTGTTTCTGACAAACAAAAAAACCCCAACAACTAACCAACCAAAAACACCCTGCCCCCAAAAAAAACAACCAACCAACAACCAAAACCCCAGAAAACAACTGACCAAAAAACAAATAAAAAAACAGTCAAACGCCCCTCCCACCCAATAGCCCTCCCCTCAACAGCAGTCAAACAAAACCAAATGTTGTGGTTTAAATACAGCCAATAACCCATGCAGCCCACTCACTCACTCTCCCCTTTCTCCCCTCCCCGAGGGACAGGGAGGAGAAACCACTGCTGCTACCACCAATAATAATGATAAGGGAAATAACAAGGGAAAAGAATACAATACCACCCGTCAATACCCAGCCCGACCAAGCAGTGAACTAGCCCTTCCGGGTAACTCTCAGTTACATCCTGGGCATGACGTGCTGTGGTATGGGATACCTCTTTGGTCAGTTTGGGTCAGGTATCCTGTCTCAGCTTCCTCCCGGCTTCCTCTCCTCCCTGGCAGAGCATGAGACTAAGAAAGCCCTTGGTCAGACTAGACATTTGAGCAGTAACTAGAAACATCAGTTATCAGTTCCCAGGCCAAAAGTCAAAAACACAGTGCTGAGGCAGCAAATAAGAAGGAGAAAAAAAAAGACTGCTACTGCTGAACCGAGGACAGTATCCACCCTTTATTCCATACCATTCACGTCATGGTCAGATCTCACATTTTCAGTATACCATCGCTCTTTTATATATATATATATATATATATATATATAGGGTCCATTGGGTCCATGATGTCGGGTTCCATCTGATGTAACATGCCCAAAAGGGGCAGGAGAGGCTGTGTGCAGTGTTGGATCGTTGCCTGCTGATGCTGATTGTTCCTTTACCGCAGAACTCATCTGGTTCTATTGAAGTTCATTCTCTGTTGGGATGATGGTTGGAGGGAAGTCAGGGCCAGTCACTGGTGATCTGAAGCCATCTAGTTGGTGGGCTATAAAAATATTACATAGCAGGCAACAGCATACAATTGAGTTCATTGGCTGTTTCCCCTAAAATCAAATCCCCTTGAGGTATACATCAGACTTCCCTATCTTCCCACATTACCCACCAAGTATATCCAGGTCCCTGAGCAAAAGCAATCCCATGAGTGAGTTTGCATTTACCTGAAGCAGGAATAACCTAGACTGTCTTCCCCAGCAATTCTTTTTGTGCACCACAGGAACTTTGTCCCCCTCTACAATATGTAAAAATTCCGACTGGGCTGGACCAGCCCTGTTGGCAGATCCTCTGGTGTTGACCAACCAGGTGGCCTTTGGTAAGTGTGCGTCCCAGTGCTTGAAAGTTCACCCACCCATTGCTCTCAGTGTAGTTTTTAACAGCCCATTGTACCGTTCGATTTTCCCAGAGGCTGGTGCATGGTAGGGGATGTGATATACCCACTCAATGCCATGCTTTTTGGCCCAAATGTCTATAAGGTTATTCCGGAAATGTGTCCCATGGTCTGAGTCAGTTCTCTCTGGGGTGCTGTGTTGCCACAAAATCTGTTTCTCAAGGCCCAGGATAGTGTTCCCAGCAGTGGCGTGGGGCACAGCGTGTTTCTAGCCATCTGGTGGTTGCTTCCACCGTGGTAAGCACATGGCGCTTGCCTTGGCGGGTTGGTGGGAGTGCGATATAATCAAGCTGCCAGGCCTCCCCATATTTATACTTCAGCCATCGTCCTCCATGCCAAAGAGGCTCTAATCGTTTGGCTTGCTTAATTGCAGCACGTTTCACACTCATGAATAACCTGGGCAATAGTGTCCATTGTTAAGTCCACCCCTTGATCACAAGCCCATCTGTATGTTCATTTCTGCCCTGGTGGCCTGAAGTGTCATGGGCTGCTCAATTTCCTCTGTCTCCAAAGCAGCAATACCAAAAGCCTGTCGGTACCCCTTTGGATCTTTGAGGCACCCTCCCCTGAGGCAGTTTATGCTGAGGATGCATGGAGACTCTGGACCAGTCACAATGGGGTGCTTTTGCCATCTCCTCCCAGTCAGGCTGATTTCAGCCTCCAGTACAGTCGAGTCTTGGGATCCTCCTGTCACTTCAGAAATATAGATGGGTTCCACCCCTTGACAGCTTGATGACATCAGGGTACACTGTGCACCGGTATCTACTAGAGCCTTGTACTTATGTGGGACTGATGTGCCAGGCCATCTGATCCACACAGTCCAGTAAATCTGATTGTCCCCTACCTCCACCTGCTGGAGGCAGGGCCCCTCTAATAGTCATCACAACGTTGGACACTTAAGTCTTGTAGAAAGAGATTGCTCTTCTTTATCACAGGAGCTGGAGTAAAATCAGCTCTTCCACTCCATCTGGGAACCTGCTCACCAGAGACTGAAGCCGCAGCTTTCATGGGATGATCATCCTTGACCTTTGTTCTCCTCTTCAATTCACGCACCCTTTCCTCCAAAGCTGAAGTAGGTTTTCCATCCCACTTCATCATGTCTTCTCTGTGATCCTGCAGGTAAAACCATAGAGTGGCCCATTGTGTATACCTTCTGTATCTTCTCTCTCGAACAGTAGGATGCCTTTTGTTAATAGCTGAGACGTGTGTTGGTACACGTGAGGAGCTGGATAGATCAGATAGATTGTCTCTCAATTGTTTGAGGTCCTGGGACTGTTTTTCCACAGCTGAGATGATGGAATGAGTGAGATTGTCTTCGAACTCTCGGAGTTTATGAATCACTTCATCTACTGTTAGTGGTACTATGTCATTCCAGGTTACTGCTGCCAGTGAATGGGCATATGATGACGGTGCATTCCGTGTAAGTTTTCACCACATGGGTCGTGTACATTTGACTTCATCTGGGTCTATGGGTATATCCCTGTTATTCGGCTTGATGTGATAGATCACTTCTACAATGGCTGATTCCCTCAGAGACTGGATGCCTTTCTCTAAAGTAGTCCACTTGGCCAAGCGAATCATGACATCATCCTTGTATGGAAACCTTTCTTTCACAGCTGCCAAGAGCCGCTCCAAAGGCTGAGGGACTTTTTCTCTCTTGCAATTGCTGTGTCAATTCCCCCTTCTCTAGCAAGTAATCCCAGCTGCTTGGGTTCTGTACCTTCTAGTTCGTGACCGTTAGCCCCATTGTCCTAGCTTTGGAGCAACCAGGTGAAGATATGCTCCCCTGGTTGATGGGTAAAATCTTTTAGCATATTTTGTAGCTCGGTTGAAGTGCAAGGTCAAGAAGTCATCTCTTCTTATTTGTTATGTGATGACTCCTGATCAGAAGCTGTAAATGGTCTGGGGTGGGGTGGGGGTGGGGGTGGGGAGGGTAACAGAACATCTCCTTCACAGATTGACCACCCAAGAAGGACAAAAAAGATGTGTAATTGCTAAGCACTTCTATTATATACCTCCCAAAGTATAAAGGTGGTGACCACACTCGGATCATAAGCCAGATCAGTTTCATAATCAATGATTCTATAGTATTACAAGTCAAGGTATCACAGTATGTTAGAGATTGGAAGGGACCTCAAAAGATCATCTAGTCCAATCCCCCCGCCGGAGCAGGAACACCTAGATAAGGTTACACAGGAACGTGTCCAGGCGGGTTTTAATGTCTCCAGAGAAGGAGACTCCACAACCTCCCTGGGCAGCCTGTTCCAGTGTTCTGTCACTCTCACTGAGAAGAAGTTTCTTCTCAAGTTTAAGTGGAACCTCTTGTGTTCCAGTTTGCACCCACTGCCCCTTGTCCTATCATTGTTTGCCACTGAGAAGAGCCTGGCTCCATCCTCGTGACACTCCCCCTTTATATATTTATATACACTAATAAGGTCACCCCTTAATCTCCTCTTCTCCAAACTATAGAGACCCAGCTCCCTCAGTCTTTCCTCATAAGGGAGATGCTCCACTCCCTTAATCATCTTAGTTGCCCTGCGCTGGACTCTCTCCAGCAGGTCCCTGTCCTTCTTAAACTGAGGGGTCCAGAACTGGACACAATATTCCAGATGAGGTCTCACCAGGGCAGAGTAGAGGGGAAGGAGGACCTCTCTTGACCTACTAACCACCCCCCTTCTAATACACCCCATGGATTCCATTGGCCCTCTTGGCCACAAGGGCACAGTGTCGGCTCATGGTCACCCTGTCGTCCACTAGGACCCCCAGGTCCCTCTCCCCTACACTGCTCTCTAACAGGTCGTTCCCCAACCTA